TAGGTATTCCAGCATGACAATGACCCAAAACACACAGCCAAGGCAACAAAGGAGTGGCTCATGAAGAAGCAGATTAAGGCCCTGGTTTGGCCTAGCCAGTCTCTAGACCTAAATCCCATAGAAAATCTGTGGAGGGAGCTGAAGGTTCAAGTTGCCCAACGTCAGCCTCGAAACCTTAATGACTTGGAGAGGATCTGCAAAGAGGTGTGGGACAATATCCCTCCTGAGATGTGTGCAAATCTGGTGGCCAACTACAAGAAACATCTGACTTCTGCAATTGCCAACAAGGGTTTTGCCACCAAGTACAAGGGGTCAAATACTTATTTCACTCATTAAAACGCAAATCAATTTATTACTTTTTTGACATGCGTTTTTCCAGATTTTTTGTTTTGTTGTTATTCTGTCTCTCACTATTAAACTACACCTACCATTAAAATTATAGACTGATCATTATTTTTGTCGGTGGGCAGATGTTCAAAATCAACAGGGGGTTAAATACTTTCCCCCCTCACTGTATATATATATGTACATACATACTATATATATTATATATGTATATATATATATATATATATATGTATATATATATATATATATATATATATCAGTGTGTATATGTGTGTGTGTGTCCAAAGAGGCAATATGGCTGCAATGTATACACTATACATATGCACAATATGAGTATATAAGGGATAATGAATGTGTGAGGGGAGGTTTATAGAATATTTGGAATATAGGGTTGCATATGTAGAAATGTTGTCTATTTACAACACTGCTTTTCTGTCCAACTGTACATGCAAAATGCTGAGATTGCTGGTAGTTTAGTTACATAGTGCTGCTTAGTAGTGAAGGGGCAAACCCCTATGCTACTTTAACATGTACATTAACAGTAACCTTTAATAAAAAATATCATGTACTATAAAAGATGTGTAACATTAATTATGAGTTGGGGAACAAAAGACATCTTGGCGTTCTGGAGACATTTGTAAACCATTTGTTTTTCAGTTTTGTGATGCATTATGATGTCTCCAAAATCCCTAAATGATATTATTTTCCCATAATACATTTCACTCTTATGTATCATCTCTCTATATACTTACCCATTCAAGGCAGATAATCAGAATTCCTAAATGATATTCATGATATTCCAGTGCAATCATTTTTTTCCCTCTAGTACATAACAGCACAAATTACAATCAATGCTAGAATTTGTTATTGATGCATATATACATATTTGCATATATAATGTTTGCTGGTCAGTGTATACATAAGAAAGAATACCAATATATGTATATATGCATCATATGTGATTCTAAATCATAACATGATGATCTGGAATTACCTACAATTAATTTGATTGTCATTTAACATCAAATATGAGCGTAACACTGTGCCATTAGAATGAATACTATCTCACATAAAAAAAAAAACCTCCACAAATTAATAAGAAGCAGGGCTACTGGAGACCTTGTTTAATTGACATTCAGTTGTTCTCAGCTGGTCATTATTTTATTTTTTTATCTCATCTCTGCTTAATAGATAATTCACAATTTTTTTCCTCAAAATTAGATTTTTATACTACGTGATTAGGATTTGTAAACTACAATCAGTTGTTTTAATATCATATGTTGTATAAAATAAAAAGTATATTTTTTAACCTATGTTTTACATATATGAGATTCTTAGCAGTTCAGATCATAATTATTTTGGTAGTTTTTCTGTTATGATTTACTGCCGTACAAATAACCTGTTCATTGTGCACACAAATTATTGGAGCCCATTAAAAAGATAATAAAATGAATGCAAACCGAAATTGCCAATGTTAACAGAAAGCTATTGCCCCTTAGGGTAACAATGGGAGACAAATCATAATGCCATCAGCATGCATGCATGCATTATAAATACCCAAGGGTCATGACTTATCCCTAAGGTAGAATAGTTTCACAAAACACATTTGTGACAATGAAGTACTTATTTGCAATGCGTCAGTATTGTTTTAATATTATTGCAAAGATAACACTCTTCAGTAATATAAGAACCATTTGCTTATTTCTTGCAGACCCAATAAGGAACATTGTTCAATTACATATGGAACATTATCAAATTTTACACTTAAAATGCAATACCGATGTAGACAATTTATTTTTCTACCAGTAGCAATTTAAAGAAATAAGGCTTGGTAAACATATGTACAGGTCCTGCTTGGGTAAGCACTTACTTTTATTATGTGTATATTAAATATGTAGGGATCGTTAAGAGGACAAGGTGACATACTCAGTTGTTTTGATTGCCTAAAGGCACTTCATCACTGACATCTGGAATTGAATTTTGATTGGAAATGACCCAAATTATTGTAAAATGTTAAATCTATGTCCCCACAGTCTGTCTTTTGGTACACAGTTAGCAGAATTGTAACTATTCATAGGAAATGTACTGGCATGCAATACTTTTTATGATTAGACTAACACTATTTGAAATTAATGTATCCTTCTCTTGCAAGACTTACAGTAGTTATAAGAATATTGTTACATATACTAGATTGTAAGCTCATTTGAGCAGGGTCCTCATCAATCTATTGTTCCTGTAACATTTTGTAATTGTCTCATTTATTGTTAAATTTCCACATTTTATAATATTGTTAAGCTCTGTGGAATATGTTGGCACTATATAAATGGCAAAAATAATAATAATAAAAATATATATATACATTCAAATGTTTAATCAATCTAAATTGACAAAAAATTAAAACAAAATCAGTAAACATGAGTTGCAAAAATTTGAAATGGAAGAATAAGTCTTCTGATAAAAAGGGAGATTGTAATATTCAATTAGGGTTTTTATTTCTATATGTCACAATGCTTTTTGTTATTCTGTTATTGCTATGTAATAAGGATTGTGAATGGTTTAATATTATATAAATATATTTTATTAATACATTTTATAGAACCTAAAATAAACGGAAACCAAAATGAAGAACAATTATGTTCCGTAAAGGGGTACGCAATGTTGAAATTTGCTTCTCATAAAAAGTACATTAACAAAACTATTAAAAAACAAAAACAAATTCTTCACAGTTCCACTTCTGCAGCTAGATCAGACAATGCCAATCTTTAGCTGTTCTAAGTATACCCCCTAACATACAGGACAGACTGCAGTAGCCCTAGAAGTTCCATAGAGTTTCCATCATGCAGTGTAATGTATGACCCATGTGGCTGATTTCCTCTTTACACAATTACAATCCACAATTTATAAGCAGACAGAGATAGAACATTAAGAGATCTTGTGATAGGCTTACTGTGTGTCTGTCTGGGTGTCATCTTCTTCTAAAATAGGCTCCTTGATTTTCAACACTTCAGTTCAGGCAGTGGGTGAACTGTGCTAATATACCAATATGGAAGTTATTTTTCAGAATCGAGTGGTGTGGCAAAGCAGGCAGGCTTTTTTGTGCGTATTCTGCAAAACATGTTATCAAATACACAAAAGTTAATTTTGGTGCTCACAGTGTCCCTTTAAAGCTATTTTCTGTCCTCTCTATCATCTACTTGGAGAAATTTGTAATTTTTCAAAATATACAGTTTATGAACAATCTTGACCTTTTTTTTTAAGCTACATGTGATATTCAAGAGTGTGTATAACACATGTAGTCCGCTTAAGAGATTTGACAATTGCATATGATAGGGAAAAAAAAAAGAAATTGGGACTTCCATACTAAGTATATTTTAAAAGCCTTGAATATATATATATATGTATTTAAATGTTCATAAATTACAGGTTTCCAGTGGTTGTGGCCTTCAGTAATGAAAAGTGACTTACATACACTCCTATCTTCTATGTGCATGTAGTTGCATTTTTTTCTATTATAATTAAGATCATGTACCAGCTTTTGATCCCACATTTCTTAGAAGAAGAAATGTTATTATTCCATTATATTAGCTTGATATTTAATTTAATTACATACAAAACATATATATTCAAAAATGATTTGTCACTGCAAACCATTAAGATAATTAATGAGAGTATTTCGATTCTGTGATTATAATTATATAATCGCATACACTTTGAAAAAATAAAAGCCTTTATAAATATTGCTTCTTGAATGTTATCTATAACCTATTTTCTAATATCACAAAGGCAGTGGGGATATCAATTAATAAAGGCAAAGAAGGAGCATAATTTATAATTAACTGGCGAGAGGTTTGGAACAAACAGCAGCAGAGAGTCTAATATTCAGTAGAAAAATAACTAGTGTTGATTTGTCCCTTGACAAATTAATAGACTACTTATCAATGACAGGGTTATATAAAACTGCTAAATAAATAATCATCGAGTTAAAGTGTAGCAGATATTTAACAAGCTTGATCTGAACCACTTGACACAATCAGACTCTAAAGAGGTTTGATACTAAGAAAACACACATTTTGTAGCTAAAGGTGGATTCTTTTTTGTTGTTTCCAGAGAAATTAGAGCCAATAAAGAAATACAGAGCAGTAAAAAAAAAAAATAAACTGAAAGACTTTCAGAAGCTGATAAAAAGGGACACTCTACTTACACACTGGGAACCAAAACAGTTTAAGGGCAGACATTAGAAATTAGGTTGCTAGGGGGTGGAGCCTGACCTTGCGAGTGAATGGCAGCATAGTCTCTAAGCTCTGCCACGACTTTGCCGAATCAATAGCCATCAATAGCACCTGAGCCACAAAATCCCCCACAAACCCGCATCCACACCCTGTTACACTCCATCTACCCTCTAAACTAATGGGGGGTGGAAGAAAATCCCGCAATTCATCGGTGGCACCGATTTTCTGGGCTAGGCCTAAGAAGGCCCCGGCACCATCTTTGGAACAATCCAAATCTGACTCATACTTGGAGATGAGCAGCAGTACTGCATCAGACAGGCCAGAGACCCCACTCACCAGAAAGGACATGAGGGGCTTCTTGGAAGACTTTAAAAAGTCCGTGGACGAGGAGCTAGACGAGAGGATGAGACTATTCTCACCGGCATGGAGGACCTCGTGGCACGGACCCAGGCCACCGAAAACAAAATGAAGGAGTTGGTGGAGACTGTGCAGACTCATGTTACAGAAATTCAAGAACTGAGAGAGCAGATACGCACCCTGGAAGAAGCCAACGAAGACCTTAACAACCGGACACGCCGGAACAATATATGGGTGCGGGGATTGCTGGAAATGGCATTCACTGAACTGCTCCCAGACTCTCTCTTGGCAGTGTTCCAACACCTCCTGCCAGAAGCCTCCGCAGCGGACCTCCTGATGGACCGTGCTCACCAAGCCTAGAGAGCACCCAGCACCAACCCTGCCATCTCACAGGACGTTATAGTACACATGCACTTTTACCACATTAAGGAGATATTGATGCGGGCCGCCAGAGACAATCCTGTGGAAGCAGAAGGAGTACAGGTACAGCTGTACCAGGATTTGGCACCCAATGTATTAAAGAGACGAAGAGACCTGCACCCACTCATGCAGCACCCTGCCCATCACGGCCTTCGTTATGCTTGGGGGCACCCCTACAAGCTCATTGTACTCAAGGACAATAAATTCTATACCATCACTCAGCCATCAGAAGTGGCCACACTGCTCACAAGCCAGCTGGCTACCCTGCATGCACAGCTTACTACCCTACTGACTACGACTGCTGCAAGGCCATATGAGGCTGAGCGCATATAACCTCTGCTGCCCTTCACAAATCACACTTATCACAGACTGCACCACTAAGGCTAACCACCGGACTCCCTCCCCCTCTATGACCAGTTCGCCCTGACATGGCACGGACTCCGACTGCCTTCACAAGCTTCCCCCAATACTAAACAATGAATAGAGCAGCGCTAAACAAATTAAGAACACTAGGATGGGAGGCAGCACACCTGATAAAAGGGCAATAAAAGAACCCACAGAATATAAAAAGAATGCACAATAAAACTTGAAAGAATAAAAAATACCAAATGGTACGGCACAGTCTCAAAGGTTCAAAGGTGGCAATAAATCTTCTAGTCCTGGTATGGGACTTTCTTGGTAGCTTCGCTTAATAGCAGTATATGAAAAAGAAGCAAAAACAAAGTCAAACCAATAGTGCAAATGGTAGTACGTGGTAGGACAAATGACACTTAGATAAAATGTGAACTCACATATGGTAGAGCTATAACCAGCTCTAGGTAAAACAGCATGCAGTGGTATACAATCCCCACTTGCAGGATATCCCTCTGGTTTTGGTACACAGTAGAATGATGGTAAATCACAACTGGATAACGATGAGGTAGATCATATGGAATTACAAAAAAGCAGCCAATAGTGATCTCTATATAGATAGGTAAGTATCAATAAGGTAAATAAAAATAAACTTACAATAGAGTGAGCAGACTAACCGCTCTATGGTACCCTGTACCCTGACAGCTCAATACACTTCTAGGCCCTCTTAGGCCTGACCAAGCAGACACTCTTTACCAGAGCAAGTCCACAGCAGACACTGCAGACTGGGCCAGATCAGTGGGACAGGTGACTTACAGCGAACACATCCACGCAACGGCATGGGGGACTGACACATGAGTTCAAGACCGTTAGCGATCACTTGCTCTTATACGGACACGACACTGGAGATATGGGGAGTTTAAAACTAAAGATTTATGGTTAACACAATTTTCTTAACATTTATGTATTTTATGTTTGGTTGGCTTTTCTCCTAATTCACATTGAGCAAGAGATTGATTCTCTGAGGATAATAATGTTTACCTGCACCTATACCTGTCACCAGGTCAATTGTCATTGCATTAACCTTGCATGAGCCCAGTTACATTTACAAAGCACGCGCCTGGCCTGTCCCTGCTAGGCTGGGGGGAATACTAGCTGCGGCCCTGATAGTCCTGCAAGCGACAAGCAACAATCACACGATGACTATATGAGTTGCAGTGTCTGGATTGATCCCCAGGACGGAACGGAGTCTCACTATGCACATGCTAAGGCACTAGGCCAAAACACACATCAAACGTACGTTACACAGGACATAGCAGAACGCCACCGTGCACAGGGATACTACACACAAAGATATAGGAGGACTAGCCATCCAGAAAACACAGCTGCGCTATGACTGGGAGCAAACAAATACCGTACACATCCATAATAACAGCAAGACAGGTCATGAAATGAAATGCAGGCTGCTTATTCCCTATAAAGGGAATTAAAACATGAAATTTTAATGTTTAATATCTGACTTTTATAAGTCTCTCCCACCTCCCCCCCCAGACTCAGACACATGGAACAGCTTATCGGCATGTTAAAGGCATTTGCTACTAGAGCTGCACACACCCTTCCCCCTTTCTCTTACTACCATCAGACTCACCATACTAACCTTTGCAAAAGGTTACGAGTCTCCCGCCCAGTCACTGACTGACCAGATTGATAAGTCCAGTCCTAACCTTTCCTACACACTTCTCAAGTGGACTGCCCCGTGTGCCAGGCCCCAACCCCTGAGCGCCAGTACCTACCATCCTCCCCACCCCCTCTCCTCCTAATTTCCCGTCCGTCTTTCATTTACGCTTTACTCCTTACCCTTACGCCTACCCCATTGCTACATCTGCTTTCGCTCTTCTGAATTCTCTCCTGCTTTCCTCTACCCTCCCCCACCCTCCTTCCAACCCTACCAACACAGACTAGCCTGTGGCGATTGTATTCAAACAATGGCACCTTAAGATCCAATTCATATCCATAAACGTGAAAGGCCTCAACACGCCTGGCAAGCACCATGTCATTCTACGATAGGCAAACCGCACAGGCACAGATGTCATCTTGCTACAAGAAACGCATTTTACTGACAAGAAGCACTTTCCCCTTATCAATAGGCACTTCAAAAGAAGTTACTTGGCTAACTCCCCGGAACCGAAGACGGAAGGAGTAGCGATGTTGCTCCATAATTCATGCCCTCTCAAGGACATTCAGGTCCTCAAGGACCCAGCGGGAAGGTTCCTCTGCCTCACTGGACATGTGGGCACAACCAAGCTGACTATTTGCTCCCTATACGCACCAACTGCACCAGATCCAGCATTCTGGGAGAACTTCAAGATCTACCTTCTTAGAGTACCAACTCAACACTTGATCATCGGGGGAGACTTCAATGCAACACATATACCCGCCATTGAACGACGTACCCCAACCGGCAGGACACCAATGACGACTAGGAATGATAAACTCTACGCCAACTTTCTGGCTATGACGTCCTTAATCGACGCCTGGCGGCTCCAACACCCCACAACACTGGACTACACCTGCTATTCGCATACACACCCTTCATACTCCAGAATCGACGGTTTTCTCACCTCACCCGACATCCAGTTGTGGACAGTCCATACGAGCATTGGCAATATAGCCTGGTCAGACCAATGCGGAGGTCACCTTTATAATCAATATACCCAACCTGATCGCCCATGGAGATGGCGCCTCAACCCCATGATACTGCAAGATAAAGCAATCATCCACACCTTGTCGACCAGCATCCGAGACTATCAACGCCATGAACGACATCTGTCCAGCGATGGTATGGGCCGGCCACAAAGCGACACTAAGGGGACACCTAATCTCGATAGCCTCATCCCTAAAAAGACAATGGTTACAAAATCTGACAGACGCCCTAGAAGAATTTAGGGGACTTGAAACAATCCACAAACAACAACCGACTGAGTCCACCCTGAACCAACTGACAGCCATTCATGACAGACTAAAATCACTGGTGTCCATGGAGGTCGCACAAACATCATGTGGACCAAACAAACTATACTACCTATTCGCAGTACTCAGACACATTGGTTGCCCAGATGGATTCCTAAACATCCTTGCCTCACTATACGACCACCCAAAGCGCAAACTCCTGCTGCCCAACATAAAAACCCAGACATTTACGATCTCCATTGGCACTAGGTAGGGCTGTCCCCTCTCTCTCCTCTATATGTGATTTCTTTGGAACCCCTCATGCAGGCCATACGCAACCACCCCAACATACAAGGCATCAAGATCTGTCAAGACACATACAAAGTAGTGGTGTACCCAGACAACGTACTCTTGACACTGGCAGACCCCATACAATCACTCCATGCAACAATAGCACTCATAGAGGAATACGCAATACTCTCTGAATACAAAATTAATCTGATGAAATCTACATTCATGCTGCTGGTGATGGCGACAAACCAGCTCCGCACTCTCAGTACCCTGTTTCCCTTTACAACGACTTCCCTCACCTATCTGGGCATTCGACTTTCACCAAAACTAGAAGACGCTTACGACCTCAACTACAAACCGCTCCCCTGGAATGCCCTAACAGATCTACAATGGTGGGATAAACTAGGAGTCTACTGGCTGGGCTGAGTAACCACTGTAAAAAAGAACTTACTACCCCGATTCCTGTACCTCTTTCAGACCCTGATCATCGTACTGAAAACAGAACTCAAGAGCTTACAATCAGCCATAGACAAGTTTATTTGGAAATTGAACAGACTGAGAATTCAGAGGACAACGATATATATGTCAAAACAACAGGGCGGACTCGGATTGCCCAACTTTCTCTACTACTACCACACAGCACAGTTGGCGCATCTCCAACAATGGCATGCACCATCTAGGGCCAAAAGATGAGTGGACCTGGAGCATAATATCTTAAGCATGGGAACAACCGTTGTCATGCATGTGGGTACCCCCAGCACACAATCACCGCCCACCTCCTCTTTGGTAACACACACTTTGGCTCTGTGGGACAAATTGAACCCCAAATACGAAGCACTTCATCAACTTTGCCCAGAGAGATATCTCCATGCTGCTACACCTCTACCAACAAGGGGAGATATTTGACTATAACATCTCCCAAACCCGGAATCACTACACAAGACAGACTACTTTTGATACATCCAACTAAGAGACCTAGCATGGATGCCTATGATCAAACAAGCTGGAACAGCACCCCCTACGCCATTTGAACAGCAATGCATCGACGCACCCATTCACGTTGTGCAGATTTCCGCCATCTACAACACCTTAACCACGTACCCATCCCAAATCAACCTCACCTACATCGCAGTGTGAGAACGAGACATAGAAACACCAGATGATCCAGGCAACTGGGCGGCGATCTGGGCAGCAATTGAATCCCTCACCGTATGTGACACTCAAAAAGCGTAGGTGTATAAAACCTTACACCGTTGGTATTTGACACCATTTCGACTCCATAAAATAGGCAAAATACCAAATAGGTCCTGTTGAAAATTATGTGGCGAGACAGGTTCCTATCTTCACTG